AAAACAACACTAACTTCTGAGGGGATCAGGGAAAGCTTTGTAGAAAAGGTGGCACCTTGGCCTACCTTATAAAAGGAGATTAAGAATATGGATATGTTGTGCGTAGGGTACCCATAGGATTTCAAGGTGGAGATGTCTTATAGGCATTTGGAGATCATCAGATCACCAATCCAGAGCTTAAAAAGACTAATAAATGAATAAACAAACAAATCTAGCCCAGACTTTTTATTTTGTAGATGAGGAAGGTGAGGCCCAAGAAGGTTAATGATTTACCCAAGGTCATACAGATACCTTTTTATGTTAAGTTTCAAGAGACAGAATGGGCTAAATATAGATACTTGTGGGAGTCAGTTTTATAGAGAGAATTGATTCTTACAGGAGTGGATAAGATGACAAAAATTACAAGGAGAAAACACAGAAAGAAACATATAATACATCTCATATTCCAAAGCCAAATAGATGTTATTTTAAGGTCCTTGCTATTTGGGAAATTAAGCCATTGATCCCTCTATATTGCCCTACACACTTGAGAGTTGAGAGAGAAATTACTTTTGAGGAAATTTTTCAGTAATTCAGAAGGATGCATGACATAGTTGGTGTAGACATTCCTTCCACCTAGTTAGATTTCAGCCCCTCCCTGCTTTAACAGATGACCCTTAATGAGTTGCCATAGCAAAAAATAGTTCTTCACCTGATGGCCAGCCTTCTGGTGATAAACCTCCCCAAACAGCTGATAGCTTTCAAGAATAAAGGGTCACCTTTGCACCATTACGAGACAGTATGTTTGGACTTTAATGAAGGCTTATAGGTTAATGGGAAGGAGGCAGGGTTAATTTCAAAACTAGATTCTTTGCATGTATATGCATATCTTTTTGTACTCACAAAACCCTTGAGGATCATTTATTCTTTATTTCTCACTGCTTCTTTCTGTAATTAGGCTTTTGTAAATTCTATAATTAGGCTTTCTGTAAAAGGCTGCTTTTTTTTTTAAGCACAGAGGAGAAAAATGGTCATGATATGGTTAAGCTATAGTCGCATTCCCAATCACAGTGAATATTTGCGCTTGTTGTCAATGAAAGTTCAGCAGATAGGCTGAGAGAGACGTCATTATGTTGCATTTAAAAGCAGGGTTTTTATGTGGCTATCAAGGCAGCTGGTTCATAATCGGTATGTACAAAAGCCCCTCAGCTTTCCTCGGGAGTATTATACTCAAACTTTTTAAAAGCATCATGTAGTTCATTAAAGGTGGAACATCTTAGAAAGTCCTTTGTTAGCTCTGGAATGAGTACAGAGAGGTCTCAAGGCTTTTAAAGATGACTGCTTCATATATAAGCATATTAAACCTGAAAAGGCTTGCCTTGAACACTCCAGTATCAAAACTTCCACAGGCTTCATCTTGGAATGACAAACTGGAGTAATTGGCTTTGTGAGCTGACTCTGAACTTGTTAATGGTGCTATTTGCAGTATGTAACTTGTTAGTGGAGACCCAAGGGTGACTGTAAGTGACATAAAATATATTTTTTCCAGACTAAAAGAACTTAAGTACCTTACTGATCTATTGAATATAGGGAAGAGCATCGAGAGATTGCTTCTCTGGGAGCCATCAAGCTGGGTAAAAAATGCACCTTGATTGGCGTAGAAGTCCATAAGACTTAGACGTGAGTTAGTCCTAAATTTTTTCATTGATTGTGATTTACTTATTATTTTTTTAATCTTCAGCTTGGGTGAACATGTCTTACCATCATCAGCTCAGGGAAAGTCAATCATGTTAGATGCTGGGGATAAAAAAAATAAAAATCAAGCAAATCTCTTGCTCTCAAGAATCTTGCATTTTAACAGCAGGAATGGCAGGCCATTTGTTAGCAAAGACCAGGTATGTACAGGGTGCATGCACAATCATTTCAGGGAACCACTAGTTGCTGGAGGATTGAGTGAGGCCTTGTATAGGAGATGGCCCTTGAGCTGAGCTCTGAATGAAGTTAGAGACACTATCAGAACAAGATGAGATAATAGACTGGACAAAGGCATGGAAATGGAATGGAATTCTGTGTATGAGTAGCAGCAAGTAGGTCCATTTGGCCAGACAATGAAATGCTTAAAGGGATATAATATGCAATAAGCCTTAGAAACAGATTGGAGCCAAATGGTGGAGGACTTTTAAATGTCAAGGTAAAGAGATTATATTTTATCTTGGGGGCAGCACCAAGGATCCAGTCCTAAAAAACTTTGTTCATCAAAGGTCTGTCCAAAGACATGACAAAAGAAACATTGAAAGATTTATTTCATGGCTCTGTTGATGCCAGAATAGTTGGTCACTGACAAGGAGACAGAGTCATCTGAAGGGTTTGATTTTGTGGACTTCAACTCAGAAGATGCCAATGCGCGAAAGAGGTCATGGAAGATGCGGAGATTGATGAAAACATTTAACTCTGGTCTGGGCCAAGCCCAGTGGCTTTGGAGGCCTTCTTGGCAGTCGTGGAAGTGGTAGTTGTGGAGACTTTAGTGGTCAAGGAGGTGGTAGAGGAGGCCAGGGAGAGGGAGGGGGTTGGTGGCAGAGGCCAAGGAAACTTTGGAGAGCAGGGTGGTTTCCAAGGAGGCTAAGGAAAAGGAGGAGACAACAAGCCACAAAGAAAGAAGATTGAGTTCTCCCCATTCTCTTTTCCTTTGTTGTTTGAACAGACTCTGGGTGTTTTATCCTGTCATCTAGTAGTTGACAGAGCCTTCTGAGGACATTCCAAGAAAACATGCAGTCCAGAAGTCTTCTTGGAAAAAACTGGATGACTTTTCAAGGGAAAGAGGGTGTTGGTTTTGACTGGATAGATGTTCCATGTAAACTTTTTGTAGATAAGGGTGATTAAAAACAAAAGCCTAAGATATCTTACTAAATCCTGGAGTTATACATCATAAGTAATCTATCAACCATCTTTTATTGAGTACCTTGCATTGCACTAAGTGCTGGGGAAACAAAAAAAGAAAAGAAAAAACCTCATCCCTTCTCTGAAGGAGCTCACAGAGGGTATTCTAGTATGATACAAACAAGATAAATATAAGATAAACTAAGGGTCATCTCAGAGGGAAGACACGGAGATTAAGGGGGACTGGGAAATATTTTTTTGCAGAAGGTGGTCTTTAGCTGAGTTAACGGAAGTCAGTATGAAGTATTCTAATAAATTATATGAGAAGGATAAGAAATTTGGAAACTAATCCAATTACTTTCTCAAGTTCCCAAATTCTCTTCACAGATTCCTCATTTTTTTTTAATGTCATTGTTTTTGTGAAGGAAAAGAAAGACTGACTAATATCACCTGTTCTTCAACAACAAAAACAATTAAGTGCCTATTATACATAGATAAGGGTTGGCAGTGATAACTAGTTTATATAACACAGTCCTTGTCTTTATGGAGCTTATAGTCTACTAGATAAGAGTATAAACACAGATAACTGAAATACATAATGTATTGGAGGCTGGGAGGGGGTGAGACAGCTTATTATGGCTCTGGAATACTTTTTGTGACTTTCATTAATGTTTTCTTGAAATAGCCTCCCATTCATTATTATGTAATTTTCCGTTTCCAATTTCCTTTATCTGAAATAGTCAACCCTGGTTTTCTTTAAGTCCCAATTAAAATTCTATTTTTTTTTTTTAATTAGGCGATTGGGGTAAGTAACTTGCCCAGGGTCACACAGCTAGTAAGTGTCAAGTGTTTGGTCTGAGGCTGGATTTGAACTCAGGTCCTCCTGACTTCAGGGCCAGTGCTCTATCCACTGCGCCACCTAGCTGCCCCAAAATCCCATCTTTAAATGGAAGCCTTTCCCAACCCCTCTCAATTCTAGTGTCTTCCCTCTGTTAGTTATATCCTGTTCATGCTGTGTATAGATTGCTTCGTATATATCTGTTTGCATGTGGTCTCCCCTATTAGATTGTAAGCTCCTTGAGGGCAGTCTTTTTCCTTCTTTTTTATCCTTAAAGCTTAGCACAATGCCTGGCACTTAGTAAGTACTTAATATATGTTTATTAATTGATTGAATATCTGCCAATGTATTTGGAGTGACTTCAGATTCTTCTTCCTTTTTTCAAATTAGCGCACATTTAGATGGTAGTTTACAGTTTGCAAAGAGCTTCTTCAAAACAACTCTTTTGCAAGAATTTATTATTCCCATTTTGCAGAAGTAAAAACTGAGGATCAGAAAATTAACTTGCCCATAGATACATTGCTAATAAATGATAGAATCTGGGCTTGAACCTAGGTCTTCTGACTTCTTTTTTTCATTATCCCATGTTACCTCCACTGCCCAAAGTAACTAGGTAGGTTTTAGATTAGATTGTCAATAGTAGGGACAACAGTGAGTAGAGTGCCAGACCCACTGTCAGGAAGACCTGAGTTCAAATCCAGTCTCAGGCACCTAATAGCTGTGGGATCCTGGACAAATAACTTAACTTCTCTTTGCCTCGGTTTCTTCATCTATAAAATGGGAATAATAATAGCAACTACTTCCTAGGGTTATTGTGAGGATCAAATGAGATAATTATTATAAAGCACTTAGCACAGTGTTTGGCACTTAGTAAGTGCTATATGTTTCTTGTCATTATTATTGTTATTAATATTATTATTGTTATTATTATTATAGCAAGAGATTAAGAAAAAATCAGAGCTGGTCATGGGAGGGGGTACGAATGCATATGCCTCTCTGTACTAAACCACCAAATGGTAATTATTTTGCATTATTAGTGGTTGGGTGGTTTTTATTTTGTCAAAGAATTACACCATCCCATCCCTAAGCATAGATAATTGAACCTAGAACATAAATAGGGAATTTAGAACCTTCTGATTCCATTTGGGTGAGGTTTGTAGCACCACCTGTAATGCACCACCATGGGGTGTTTCCCCTCAGTCAGAGGATGAACCTTGGAAAGAAATTTCAAGACTTCTGAAACATGTGAGTGTGTGGGTGTGTGTGACGAGGCTGGGTGACTCGATGTCCCTTCTTGGTTCTGTAGGGGTTGTTCTGAGCTCTGCCGAATCCCGATGGTGGAATATAAACTCGACAGTGAAGGTACCCCATGCGAGTACAAAACCCCTTTCAGGAGGAATACAACTTGGCATCGGGTCCCAACTCCTGCTGGGCAGCCTCTGTCTCGTGCCTCCCCGATCCTGGGAACATCTGACCGGCTGCCCTGCCAACAGCTTCTCCAGCAGGCTCAAACAGCTATTCCTCGCAGCACGTCCTTTGACAGAAAGTTGCCAGATGGCACAAGGTAAAATCCTTCATTCTTAAATGTCTCCCCTTTCCTTTCTCCTGTGGGCTCTGCTTATAAGCCCCTTGGGTTTTAGGACTGGGTATTTTAGGATGGGACTTTTCTTTGGCTCAGTCACTCATAAATTAGCTTGTTCTAAACAGTGGGGTCCAGACAGTTGGGCTAAGGTCAGAAGGCACTTGGGAGGGAAAGCAGGGGGTGGAGAGGCAGGGAGTAGGTCATCCCTCTCTCATTTTAATGGTTCCTTGGGAGAGAACCGGAAACTGCCCAAGGAGCAGACGGTTCCCCACAGCAGAGTAAACAGTGTCTCTTCTTTCCCTATTGTGAAACAGGAGCTGCTAGGTAATTTGTGCTCTAAGCACCCTGGGTAAGATAACAACTGGAAACTTTGTGACGGGAGCCTATGCAGACAAGTAATGAGCATAAATAAAACAAAACTATCCTCTGCAAAATTAATAATTAAATCCCATTATCGTAACATGGGTACCATTGCAAGAATTTCTGTGATCATTAGGAAGCTTTATACTTTCCTTTCCTCCCTTAAATCAGGCGTAGTAAGGATTTTAAAAAATTATTATTTGAAGTAAATTACTGTCAATGAAGGGGAAAGCATGTGTTTAAAACTTGTAACTGTATTCTTTAAATGCTCGAGGAATGGTTAGAATTTTTAACCTGTATAACTTTTTTATTTTTATTATATCTATAGCTACAGATACGCACGCATTCATATATACACACAAATATATATGTGCATATATACATTCATGTGTGTGTGTATGTAGAAGGATGTGTCTATATAACATGTTAATTCATTTGGATAAATACTTACATGCAGGCATTTCCCTAGATGGCAAAATAAAGTTACTTATTTGTGAAGGGTCTGATCAACTCCTTTTTTTCCCCAAATATTTAATTTTTTCCAATTAAATGTAAAAACAATTTTTAACATTCTTTTTTTTTGAATTTTGGATTCCAGATTCTCTTCTTCCCTCCCTTCCTCTCCCTCCATGAGAAGACAAGCAATTTGATATAGGTTGTACATGTGCAGTCATGCAAAACATTTCCTTGTTAGTCATATTGTGAAAGAAAACACAGACCCCCCCATCCCCCAAAATAAGAAAGTAAAAAAAGAAAAGTATGCTTCGATCTGCATCCAGACCCAATCAGTTCTTTCTAACTCCCATTTTTAATGTTTATTATTCTTGAAGCTTAAAAGTGTTTCTTCCCTGTTCCTCTTCTCATTAAAGTATACTGTTTCTCCAAACAAGGTTGACAGGTTGTGTATGAAATGTGGTAATTGATAAGAGAGCCTTGTACATGTTGATTTGCCAAATGTTCTCTTACTTTTCTCTTTCTTTATTCATTAAATTTCAAGAGACTCGAATTCCACTCTCTGCCCAAGGAAGAGTATTTAATCTAGTTCAATTAAAGACACAATGAATTTAGTGACTATTCCATACCAATAAAGATGCAAGTAGACATTCCAGGATAGGGATACATCATAATAACTTGATATACATATAGAAAGTAAAATCCTTTGTTGAAGCTTAAATGAAGGAAAAATTCCTCAAAGATATTTTCTGTGTTAAGATGGTATACAGTAAAAATATTAAATAAAATAATACCCAGAGCACATCTTATAGCAAAAGAATTTGAGAGCTATTTTTGTGCCTGCCCCCAACATTAACTCATTTTTGTGTTTCATGGGCAAATTGTACTCTCAGTGAAACAGAATTACAATGAACAGTGATGATCATTTGAAAATGAATAGAGCTCACCAGAATGCCATGAAGTGTAATGAAAAACCTATTGGTGCTGTTCTTATCCCAGTTCTACAATCTTTTCTTTTCCTCTCTTCCTATTTTCCTACGTTCTACATTCCACATGAATCATTATACTGAGTTCTGCAGGTAATTAAGTATGGTTTTGTTTCTACACATATTTCTTTTCACTGTAACATTCCCAACTATAAAGCAACTGACATATCTCATTATAATCAACTCTTAATTGCTTATGGCTTAATTATCCTGTTCTGAATGGTTCTTTTTTTTTTCATCTCAACATGTTTCTTTCTTTTCTTTGTAATTGTAAAAAAATGAATCTATTTGTAAAACAAAACAGGACAGGTCAAGATGTTGAAACTCCACAAATACCTCAGTGCACTGTTAATGATTCTAGTCAACATTACAGAAGTTCACCAAGCAACCAGTCATCTTCCAGTGACCCAGGACCCAGCGGGAGTAGCCACTGGAGACAGCAAGTGGGATATGACGGGTATTGATGATTTTCTATTGCACTATAAGTCCCCAGTTTTCTATATAGGATTTAACCAGGCTTTTAAAAAAAATCACATCATTTCACTGCTGTGGGAACATTGGTTTGGTTTTTATTGTTGTTGTTTTTTTTCCTTTCAGTAAAATAAAACATAAAGTTGAAAATTAAGCCTTTAGGGAAATTATAAAGACCAGCCTTTGGTGGCTTTTCTTTAAAAACTTAATAAGGGTAAGCTCCCAACCTTCTTTAATGTATTTTTCCCTTTAAGATATTGCTCAAAATCAAAGGATAAATAGTAAATAATAATTGTATAAATAGATGAACATTTTAAAGTAGTAGTTTTTGACTAATTGTAATATCAAGTATTTAAATAGCTTTTAGAGGTATGCCAAATGCTTTACAAATAGCTCATTTAACAAAATTTAACAAAAAACCATTTTTTTATTCATAGCCTTTGGTGTGTGACAGACTCCGTAGCGTTTGACATGTTATCCAAGCAGCAGAATATTATTGCCTTGACACGTTTCTCTATAAAATATCTCTGGTTGTATATGCGTAGTGTCTAGGAGCAGACTAAAACAAAGTCATATGGTTCCTTGTGAGCATAGTGACAGCTGAATTGATTGATGCTAATAACAGAGAAAACATTAATAAATTTCATGGGAAGAAAATGGGGAAAAAATGCTCGTCTAGCCAGACTTTTCTGCAGAGTAAGTAATTGCTACAAGTAACTGTGTATTGGCGTGTTGCTTTGCAGCAGAATCCCATCTCTGCCATTTTAAAGGGATAATTTAGAGAATGGCCAAGTCAAATATTAGCATGAGAGGAAAGGTTTTATGTTACTATATTAACATGTGCAAAACAAAACATACACCCATTCCTTTACTACTTTCTGTTGTGTATAGAATTAGATATTTGTATTTTAGGAATATTTATTTTACTTTGTTTGAAAATACATGATTTTCTAAAAATTGTAAACACAGTATTTGTATAAATAGATGAACATTTTAAAGTAATAATTTCCTAACTAATAATAATAGCAAGCATTTATATAACTGTTAAAGGCTTGCAAAAATGCCATAAAAATAGCTCATTTGGCAAAATTTAACAAAACCTTTCTTTTTCATAGCTTTTTGCATTCTTAATTTTTAATTTTTCTTTTAAAATTTGGATTTTTCTAGGATTTTCCTAGCTAGGCCCACCTCTCTACTGCCCAAAAGCCAGTCAAATTTTTTACCACTGCCTTTAAAAATGATTAATTGTAAAGGAAGCAACAAAATCAAGAGAGCCAAACAGAATGCAAACTGGATGGATTTGGCTGTGTTTTGCCACAGGTTCATTGTATGACTCTAGGTATTTAACCTTTTATAACTCCCCTGTGGTCTTACTGACTGACCATTTGGTGAATTCAATAAAGTTCTGCAGACTTCAAGACATACTCAATCAGCTCCAGCGCTGGGCTGGAGCTGAAAGGCATCTATCTTTTTATGAGGAAATGGCTTCTAAGTAGGATTTCCTTTTCATTTCTGTTTTGGAAATTTGAGACGTAAAGAATGGTCATGATTATGGGTTGGTTTGGTTTGAAAACAAGAGCCTTAATTTCCCTATTTCTCTTTAGGTGCCAGTCTCCTCTACTTCATGAACACCAGAGTTCTGGTCCACTGGAGTGTGAAGGAGCCAGGGAGCGAGAAGAAATTATGGAAGGAACTAGACTTTCTGGTAATCATATACACCACAGGGGTCGTTAAGGACTTTCGATGTTTGCTTGTCCATTCATCCAATAGATATTAACCGAGCATTTACCAACTGCCACTAGTGTTCCCATTTTCTAGCACTTTACTTTTAGGTCTACCAAGCATTTTCCTCCCAACAACCTAGTGAGGTAGGTGATACTATGTGCAAGGCTTCAAGGGGGATGTAAAGCTGAATGAGACATGACTTCTGCCTTCCGGAGAACTAAGTAGAGGAACTATGGATAGTAGTAGTGGTTGGCTGTGAGGATAGTGTTGGAACTAAAAGTTACTCTGGTGACAATAAATAATTAACTAAGAGTGTGCATTTTGGTAAGACCAGGAAGTCCTTGAATCACATTCCTCTGTATTCCCACCTGATCATTTGTTCTGCAGGTATCTTTCTTTCCCTTGAGAATTTTCCTAACCTTAGAAATTGGGAACTCAAATCTTCTCTTCATTTGTGGCAGAAACCAAGTGGCATGGACCACCTTCCAAAGTCTTGAGTTCCTATAAAGAGAGAGCCCTACAGAAAGATGGAAGTTGCAAAGATTCCCCGAACAAGCTTTCTCATGTAAGTCTTTTATTCATAGATTAGTCACTTGTCTGTGTGAACTAATAACCCATGTCGGAGTCACTAATGTATTAGAGAGAGGCGTCCAGACCAGGTTCTTTAAGAATCGCTCTTCATCTTCACAGGTTGCCTTAGAGGTGAAAAAACCAGAAGCAGGCTTTTTTTATTCTGATTTTACAGAGGAAAATACTAGGTTTCAGGGATAAGTAAATGACTTGCCCAAGGTCATGAAAATCAGGGACAGAGCTAAAAATAGAACTCCAGCCTTCTGGTTCTTATTACTGGATCGTAGTGTTCTCTCCTAACCCCGCCCCCTTTTAATGAAAACACTTTAACTAGAAAAAAAAAAGACCAAAATACATAATGGAAAGTTCTCCAATGCAACTTGGGATCAAATAATCTGTATTTAAAATCAGTGCATGACAAGAAAAATTTTGATAAAGGTAAAATTAACACATATATGTTCTAGCTCACTGGAACCATACTTCTAATTAAACATAAAACGAGAATCTGTCCATTCTTAGTTATCACCATGTATTTCCAGAAACAAATTTTAAAATAAAAGCATCACATGAATGACTACACAACATAGTCGTGATTACATCAGGATGCAAACACTTATTTGCCATGGACAGATTACAATTTAGTAGGTCAGTCCTGGGGAGTTGCCTGAGGCACATGGCTGCCAAGTGACTTCACCATGCTCAGCTAGCTAGTAAATATCTCAGGAAGGATTTGAACCCAAGTCTTCACAACTTTTAAGTCTTTCACATTATTCATTATGCCACAAATTACATTAATGAAAAATTTGGAAAGTCTAAAATAAGCTTGTTTTTTACTTCTTTCTGATTTGTTTTTGCTGCCTGTATTCCCTGTGTTGTAACACTCATCATTTATTTAGCATAGTTCCTGACACATAGTAGGTGCTTAATAATCTTCATCTTTATGATATTTAAGAGTAGTGTGGATGTTCACTAGCCAACCGCATTCTATATTTCTTCACTTGGCTACTGGAATGGAAGACAAAAGCTTACTCTGTCCAGTTTTGTTTTGTTTTCTACAGACCCCAAATCTGTAAACCCCTAAGCATGGGCAGAGTTCTAGGAATAATGAGATCTGCTAAAAAGATCAGTGAGACTTATTAAGGTCCTAGCAGGAACATATATAACCTATATCAAATTGCTTGCCTTCTCAGGGAGCGGAGGAGAAGGGAAAGGGGGAGAATTTGGAACTCAAAAGTTTTTTAAAATGAATGTTAAAAATTGGTTTTATATGTAATCAGGGGAAAATAGTAATTTTTTGAAAAAAAGGATCTAACAGGAATAAAGATCAAGTACCTGAAAATAGATTAGGGACGGGACCTTTTTTCAGTTTTGGTTGTCATTTGCCAATTGGTTCCTGGTCCTATTACGTGATCTGGGCCTTGGAGATGCAGGCCTTAGCTGTATGAGCCTTGCCACAGTTCCTCTAGAGACAATATGATCTCACTCAATTTAAACTTGGGAAGACCCAGGTTCAAATCCCTCCTCAGTCAAGTACTAACTGAGTAACATTGAGCAAGTCATTTAACTCCTCTAAACTTGTTTCCTCATCAGTAAAATGAGGATGATGATCTCACTGGAATGCTTAAAGCTCTGTTGACCTGCCAGCTGTAAGCATAGTGCTCCTGTTTGAGCAGAGCCAGAATCCTGGCCTTTTCTAACTACCTAAATATTCTGCTCCTACTGCCATCTTCACCATATAAATCATGGAAGTACTTTCCCATTAAAAGCAATCCTTGTCCCTTCTGTAAATCATCTGCCTACTTCCGTTGCGTGTATACTGTCCCTGGCTCTTACGTCTGTTACTGACTTTATGGCCATTTGGATAGTGACAGCATGTCTGTGCTTCGTGCTCAAATGGATGACTGTATTCTGCCTGAAGAAGTTGATACTGATTTTTATTTCAGGCCAAACTAAGGGAGGAACAAGGTGGGGTGGGCAGGGGGTGTGGATTTTGAGAGGGCCTATTCTTCCCCAGAACCAGCCTTTAAAATAAGCTTGTTTTACTTCTTTCTGATCTGTTTTTGCTGCCTGTATTCCCTGTGTTATAACACTCATCATTTATTTAGCATAGGTGCTTAATAAATGTTTCTCAGTTGGATGATTTGCCTGATATCTGATGCTCTTTGTCCAGTGTTGTTGCAGTTAGTATCAGTGCTCTTAAATCGTATGTCCCCCCCGGCAGTGGGCAATGACCAGGGTTTGGTCATTTGGAGAGGTATGTGTGAGACTAATAGAAATTATAGATTAATGGAATGAAAATCTATTAAAAATACTGTCTTTTTCCTCTTCAAGATTGGAGACAAAAATTGTTCCAGTCATTCTAGCAGTAACACGCTCTCGAGTAACACATCCAGCAACAGTGACGACAAGCACTTTGGTTCTGGAGACCTCATGGACCCGGAGTTGCTGGGATTAACCTATATTAAAGGGGCCTCGACCGACAGTGGCATTGATACAACCCCCTGCATGTCTACTTCGATGATGGGCCCTCTGCACCTGACGGGCAGCAGGTCCATGATGCACAGTCGGGCAGAGCAGTGGGCTGACTCTGCGGATGTGCCTGGCCCTGAAGAGGAGCAGGCCAAGCTCTATGCAGTTCACAGCTATCCATCTGCCATCTCTGTCAGTAATACTGCAGAAGGCAGCATGGGTGACCTCAGCGAAATATCTTCTCATTCCAGGTATGTAATCTACTGCCCAAATGAGTAGGCACCACCTGCTTACAGCATCAGTGAGCACCACTTTCTGTGGTGTGATGTGTAACCCAGCTGTGCTGATTGGCACAGGACCTGGCTGAAAGCCAGAAAGAAATTTGTGGTGGTGGTGGAAGTGGCGGTATCGTTTCAGTTGTGACCCCATTTGGAGTTTTCTTGGCAAAGATACTGGAGTGGTTTGTCATTTCCTTCTCCAGCTCATTTTACAGATGAGGAAACTGAGGCAAACAGGGTTAAATGACTTGCCTAGGGTCACATAGCTAGTGAGTGTCTGAGGCCAGATTTGAACTCAGGAAGAGGAGTCTTCCTGACTCCAGGCCTGGCACTCTATCCACTATACCACCTAGCTGTCCAGAAAGAAATTAACCTATGCCTAAAAGAAGTCAGCCTGTGGGCAGGATGGAAACGTTTGTAGAATTGTGAAATGAAGTGTGGGAGAACGGGTTTATCCTTGTTTCTATTCCCATGTTGCTCACTGGTTCAATCACTGAGGAAGTAAATATGGAGCCCGTGATTTGTGGACTGCCAGGCAATTGGGAGGAGGGGGAGACTACTTCTTGGTGAGATGGCTGCTGTGCATTTCCACATGACTTAACAAAGCTACACTGGAGCTTGAGATGTCCAGGAAGCAGTTGGTGATGTGTAGCACAGGACATGAGACCAATGATAGAGATAATAGATCTGGGAATCATGTGCATAAAGATTATAATTAAACCTTTGGGAGCTCATGAGATCATCAAGTGAAATATTAAAAAGGGAGAAGAAAAGAGGATCCAGGACAGACCTGGGAGGACTCTTAGATTCAGTAGGCATGACGTGGATGAAGAATGGCAAAGGAGATCGAGAAGGATCAGTCAAAACAGGTAGTGGGAGAACTAGCAGAGGAAGACAGAGTGAGAAAGAGCAGTGTCATGGAAACCTAGAGAGAGGAGACACTATCCAGGAGACAGGTGATCATCAGCATCAGAGGTCACATAGAAGTCAAGAAGGCTGAGCATTTAGAACAGGCCAGTAGAGGTGACTGGTAAGAAATCACTGGACATTTTGGAGAAGGTGGTTTCATATAAATGATGGGGTCATAAATCATATTGTAGAGAGTTTAGAAGAGAGTGATAGAAAAGAAAGTTACAGCACCCAGGGTAGACAGCTTTCTCAAGGATGAGATAAACTCCAATTCTTGGAGAATTTCTGATTGTGTGAATTATTTGTACCTTTTTGCTTCTTTAAAAAAAAAACACGTCTATTTCTGCTATATATCATTTAACCATTTCATTAATTATCACTTCCAGTTGAGAAACCAGGAAAATTGTAGAGGTATTCAGTTTAGATAGTTCTGCTTCTTGTTATTAGCCCTAGAATGTTTTGATTTTGTTATTGTTCAGTCATTTTTTCAGTCACATTGGGCTCTTTGTGACCCTATTTGGGGTTTTCTTGGCAAAGATACTGGAGTGGTTTGCCCTTTCCTTCTCTAATTCATTTTACAAGTGAGGAAACTGAGGCAAATAAAGTTATGTGACTTGCCCAAGGTCACTCTACTAAGTGTCTTAAGCCAAATTTGAACTTGGAAAGATGAGTCTTCCTGACCACAGGCCTGGCACTTTATCCACTGTGCCCCCTCACTGCGCATATTTTGATTTAAGGGAGTACTAATAATGAGTATAGCTAAAATTAGATGTTAGAATTACCCTGGTGTTATTTATCTAAATTCTCCCTACCCATTTTCACGGACAGTTGAGAGCTGGCTTTAATACCTAAAGTATCTCGGCATCTTGTTCCCATATTAATGTCTTATGCAGAACCTAGTAGTTGGGGAAAAACACCTGCCGTTATAATATTTTGTTAGACTAATGTAGTTGGTATGATAAATAGAATTTTATATTGCCATCAAATATCCTTTGGGTGGTCATCTTTGCTTGCAAGGTGCACACGTCTCTATATGGAGGTATCTCTTAGTGAGAGGACTGTAGATATTTATGCACAAGTGAAGGGGGCTTTTTTGCATACCTTAAGTCTTATTTAAATTAGCATGGGTCATACTGCTGGCAAGCGGATACAAGTGCTAGATTGAATTTCTGATTGGTTTTGTTTTCTTTCCATTCCTTTAAATTGCATGTGTGCACATCTGTTGTAGATAGCGAACTGTGTTGTGAGAGTTGAATCTTTTGCAATTTGGCTTCCTTTTACTCATAATTCACAGTTGATGATGACTTTGAACTCCATTTCCAACTTAATACTGGAGGCTTTTGCTTTCACCATCACCCAGACTCAGTCCGGCTAGTACTAAAACCAGAACCGTCTCTGCATCTTAATATAGGACCCCGTTACAGAATTCCAGACTATAATTTTCCATACCTTTCTTTCTTCCGGGACAGAAACAGGAAAAGCCTGAGGTATAAGATAACTTGTTTTGATTTAACCTGGTAGAAAATGAAAATATATTTGAATTATTCAAACACATGGGATCTATCTTAAGCTATTTTGATTCTATAAACTTTGAGAAAATTCTGTAGAGTCCAGATGAGGAGAAAATAGATATGTGTTCTTCATGCCCGATTTGTGTCCTTGGGCTTTGTATTCAATTCAGACAGACATATAAACATAAAGAAGACATGTACATTAAGTATGTACTGGGTGGGGGAGGAGGTGACTTTGAGTACCCTAAGATTTCATCAGTTTGGCTACTCTGTCTTGCTGGCACAGACTACAATCCTTCCTCAACTTTGTTGTTGGTTTTAGTTATCATTGATTGAGGTGGTCCCTAAAATTCATCACCTCGTAGACATTCATCTTCAGAGGATCTCATATAAAGCTCATCATTTGGCCCACACTTTAAGCTTTTTCAGTCTGGAATAGGTACCTGCTCAAGATTAAGATTTTAAAAACACATGTTAAAAAAATAAAGAAATAAAAATTAAAATTAAAAAAAGCTAAAGTGTAAGCAAAATTGCAATGGCCTTTAAAACTTACCATTAAATGTAACAGAATAAAAGTGTCCATTACATATGGCCAATTTGGTTAATTAATCGTATTTCTATATAATCTCCCCCCATTTATGTCTGAATATCTATCTTAATTTCTCTATTCTATCTTATTACAGATTTTAAACTATATTCATAAAGTTTAGCTGCTTTTGTCTAGCTCTCAGATTTAGCAAAGTAGGCATGATTGCCAAATTACTAACCCTTGTAATTCAGCAAATTGTGCTTTGCTAGCTTAGCCCCTTCCCTGTTTTTCCTTCGAAGCTCAGCTCTACGTCCATCTCCTTTTCTCTCCAGCTGCTAGTACTCCCACCTCCCCACATATTCCTGTGTTGACTATATTTTATGTATACTTGTGTCTACATATTGTTTTCCTTAATAGAATGTATGCTCCCTGAGGGAAAGAACTGTATTGTTTTTGTATTGGTAACTCACCGTGCCTGGCACATAACTCTCTATAAATGTTTGTTGATTGAATAGAGAACCCAGGCTCACGTCCATGCTTGCATGGAACATAGGAACAGGACTTTGGTAGAAAAAAAGTTTTTGTGATAGGATGAGAAATAAAAAATCCCTGGAGAAAATAAAGTTGATAAAACTCAAAACTTCTTGTTTTGTGTTTTTTATTTAATTTTTATAAAAATTATAATTGGTTATATCTGATGTTTGGATACTTACTCCCTTAAAAGTAGTGACTAATTACTCCCCTCCCCAAGTGTGCAATAGAAGGAAACAAATTATTAAGGTAGTATAAAGCTTCTGTTTTGGTAAACTAACATTGGAAATCCAAGGGGCTGCTAATTTTTCACATATAAATGGTAGCCATTAGACTGGGCAACTATGGCATATGCTGTAGGAGAGGGGATTTGACCTTATTCTGTTTCCCCTCTTAGAGACCTCTTTACAAAGGCTGTCTCATTTCAAGCAGGATAGTTAGCGAAAGGGCTGGTGGCTGGATTCTTAGTCTGCAGATGCTGTCAAAAGTTTAAGGTCAAAGCCAATTTAACTTGTGATATCGGAGCTATATTAGTACGTTAGAACATTCCAGTTCTCCCTCCTACTATGTTACCAGTCTCTCTCCACTGCCTCTATCTTCCTTGCATACACACCATTCTCTTTCCTACTTTCTTTGGTGTTTTGGAGATGCTAGAGCTTCTTGTCCCAAGAGAGTATAGTTCTGATGAGAAAAGGGGGGTTGGTTTGCAAAAAATGAAAGTTTAGGGGTGTTTCAGGAGGAGAAAAGACCGAAAAAGGAGGCCTATTTCATGGGCCTAAAGTAGATCCTACAGAGGAGATTGGAATTAAAATTTCATATTCTCCTCTCCAGGTTCCTTCAAGGCCCTGGGGATATAGTTTATGCTGGCCCAGGTATTTAAATTCCTTGTAAGCAGCTAGGTGTTCAGACTTAACTGCCTGGAGTTTCACTTCGCTGTTAAACACTTCCATTCTCTCCTTACTATTGTATGGAGATCATTCTCCTTGGCAGAATTAGCAGATGGAAAAATAAGAGTTGAATAGTTTCACCTTCTTTTTTTCTGCGATTATGTTATCATTCTAAATTAAGCCCTTCTTTCACCCTTCCTGTGTCTCTCCACTCTCCCCAAAGAAAAGCCCTTTCTATTGTGTTTAACCATTATTTCAAACTTCCCCTTATGCTAACTAGGTCTTTATCTCCCTGATAATTTTCTTATAGAACTTGGTCTTTTTTGAGTTTGTCTGTAGTTACCAGCCCTTATTGCATTTTAAACTATTTGCCATTTTAAAATCTTAGTTCCCTGTTCAACCCCTTCAGTTTCCTTGGATACCCTCCCCTGTTAATCACAGTTGATTCTGATGATTTCATTGCCAAAATCTAGTTCTCCAGAACCTCCCATCCGACTGGAGGTGCTTTCTCTTCTAGTATCCCATGCCTTGAGATTCTACTCAGTCTCTCTCCAAACTCCTCAGACTTATGGACACCCATCAGACCATGCCCAGCCTCCCTCTCCTTATCTGACTAAAGCTGCGGATGGTATATTTCTAACTGAACGTTCTTGTGCTGTAGATACGCTCCTGAGAAGTGTGCAAATCAATTTAGTAAGCCAAAGAACACTATCTAAATATGGGCTACTAATATTATAAGTCTAATCCTTAAAAGCTCTGATTTCCTAAACCAAATCATATTTTCTGTGCACAAAGGGAACATGCTATTTAGGAGGACTCCATAATAAATCCTTTTGTAAAGCACCAGTACTGTACTGTGAGTAATCACTTTCTAATTTATCTGCATTGTAAGCTTAGCTTTCCATAGTTCATGTTTTTTGAATGCAAAATGCACCAGAACTGAGGACCCCTTGTATTAGAAGCTGTGTTTTTAAGCTTTTACACAGTGTTTTGTGTTTGTAAAATAGTATAAGTTGTTTTGTGATTCTATTCATTAATTTCTGTGCAGTCATTCTTGTGAATTAGGTCCATGTCATGGCTCCCACTTTGTAGATCAAATGAGAATATATATAAAGGGCTTTGTGAACCTTAAATCCCTATATAATTTCAGCTGTTGCATGAGAAAAATGGAGATAAATGAGCTTTGAGCACCATGTTAGAGGGCCCCTGAGTTAGCAGAGGATTGAAAATATCAGCAGTTCTTAACCCGTAAGTTACATGTTGGTAGGTGGTAGGGCCTCATCGCCTCACTGATTTACCTGAAGTCTGGCACCATTCGATTGCTGTTCTTAACCCAGGCTGTGCCATTCTGACTTGTAAGTTTCCCCAAAGCCCAGTTTTTAAGGTTTTTGGCTTGCACGTGTATCCACGAGTTGGGTGTGCAATATGGGGACGTGAACAGTTTGCATGTGTAAGCAATTACACCATACACTTGTCCTTTCCCCCATCTTGCTCTGGGATAGGGGAAAGCATAACAATTATGGCAGTGATTGGCAGTGTCCCAGAGCTGCTAGGGATATCATTGTAATGCTGCTTTTCTTTCTTTTTTTTCCCCTTCTACAGTGGTTCACACCATTCAGGAAGCCCTTCAGCACACTGTTCTAAAAATAGTGGATCTTTGGACACCTCCAAAGTCTACATAGTATCACACAATAGTGGCCAGCAGGTTACTGGGTCATTGTCCAAATCCTACCACAGGCAAGGAGCAGTCAGCAAATATGTTATTGGTTGGAAGAAATCAGAAGGCAGTCCCACACCCGAAGAATCTGAAGTAAATGAATGTCAGGGGTAAGTAAAGCAACTTCTTTTCCTCTATCTTGGCAAAATAGCGAGGAAAGAGAGAATAGGAAAATGAGCTTTTCTTTCACAGGAGTACATCCTTCCTTAAAGTAATGATGTCTAGAACTTTATTTTTTTCAAAAATTGTTTAGATTTTAACTTACATATTTTTCTTCAAACTCTTGTGTCCATTTCCCAATTTCCCAATTCTTTCAGAGAAAGAATTTTTTTTAAAAAGTCTTTTTTCTTCCTAAAGGCCAAAGATAACTTTTTTTTTCTCAATAGAAATACTTTCAGTAAAGTACTGTTTAAGTTTAAATCTTTGGGAAATGAATAAATTCATGGGTAGAGAGTGTACACATTGAATTTGTGGTAGAGCTAAGTGATCTTTAAACAACAACAAAAAAGTGTGTTTGTTTAACCTAATTTTAACATTGGTTTGGTTTCCTTTTATTTCCTAGACTTTGAAAGGTGAGTTGTTTTATACTTATTTATAAAAGAAAAATTCTTATTGAGCCTTCAACAAAATCTTTTAATCTTGTGATTGTTGCATTTCTGCACTTCTGATGAAAGTGGTAAATTCTTGCATATTTCAGGATGTGCAGAAGGCGGCTAACCAAACAAGTTTAGTTGGTTTTTAAAGAGTCTGGCCTGAAGGACATTTCAATCACTGCATTAACTTTGTACTGGACCAGCCCACCATAATAACATCAGATACTAATGTTTTCAAGTACACACTTGTTCTTTGATGAATATTAAAGATGCCCTCATAGAATTTCTGGAGCTTTATCAAAAAAGGGTATTTTTGAAAAAAATTTTTTCCATTTTGTAAAGTCATCTCTTAGATGCACAGCTGAAAGGTATTTTTACCTTCTCATGTCGTTATAGACAATGTGGTATCATGGTTAGAGAGCTGGCCTTAAAGCCATAAAGAAAGTCTCGTCTCTGTCACATGCTGGACAAGTAATTTAACTTCTTAATGCTGTAGGTCACTCCCTAAGATTGAGAGCATCACAGGTCTTCAGAAGCATTGAAGGAGACGTTAGCAGTGTTGAACTACTGCTGCCCCTCAATATCACGTACGGCCCAAGGGGAAACTGGCACAATACATGTATTGAAAAAAGGTTGGACCCCCAAACTGACTCAACTTACCTCAGATCTTCCACAATAATAATAATGACAACAATGACCAAAATAATAGAAGCTAGCATTTAAATAATACTTTAAGGTTTGCAAAGCATTTCACAGATAATATCTTATTTAACTTCTGTTTGCTTCCATTTCCTCATCTGTAAAATGGGGATAATAATAGCACCTACTTCCCAGGGTTGTTGTGAGGATCAAATGTGATAATAATTGTAAAATGCTTAGCGCAGAGCTTGGCACATAGAAAGTGCTATATAAATAGTGTTGTTGTTATTAATATTATTCTCACAACAACCCTGGGAGATAGGTGCTGTTATTATTCTCATCTTTATCGGTGAGGAAACCGAGGCAGACAGAGGTTAAATGACTTGCCCTGGGTCACATAGCTAGTGTCTGAGGTCAGATTTGAACTCAGGTCTTCCCGACTCCAGGCTGTACCTATCTAGCTGCCTATGCAGTACAAATAAGGCTTGCTAGTATAGATCAGCCCCCTCCCATAGACATTGTTTTGAAAAAGCTGGTGGCAAGGCCCAGAATGTAGGTCTGGACCAGATAACAGAAATTGGTCCTGCCAGAGCTCCTCTTTGTAAAAATACTAGAACATCCCTCATGGATTTCATAAGAAGGCTCTTGAGAAGGCTCTTTGTACATGCCTGCAAACTCACCAAGAAGTACATCTTCCACATTGATTTTCATCATTTTCCAGTTTTCCCTCCTTCCCTGATCCCGTATTTGTTGTTTTTCATGTGTTAGTCTTTTCAATACTTGAAAGTGCATGGTTATTTATACCATTTTAGGAACAAAGTGATGAAATTTTTTTCCCAGGGAAATTGTCATTAGTTTTGTGTTTGTAAGTGAAAGTTTCCAGTTTAAACATTTTCTCTGGAAGCTTTTGCTTAGCTTGTTGCAACACAGGCCTCTCTTTGAACCAAAATTCCTTCAAGGTGCCAGTGATGAGAGCCCTACGCAGTTCGTTTGTGGGAGACTTAGCTGCCACGGTACAGCATAATTCCTAGACTTACAGTTCAATGGTGAAAGCCATTGCCTCTGCTGAGGCTACTACGGTCACTGATTGCTCTCCATTCGGCAGGAAGTAATTGGACTCCAATTCACGCTCTGTGTCTTTGGGAATCTGCAGTCAACTCAAATTGCATTTCCAAAGTCAACTCTTTAAAGATCACTCCTTTGCTTCCCTCCTAGAAGAGAGCTGAAAGACAGTAAAATTCAGTTTGACAGTCTTTTGCTGACCATGAATACGTTTTATTTATCCAAACAGCTTTATGAAATTGTTGATAATTAAAAATGCTTGGCACATGCCAGAAATGGTTACTCTTGAACCATGGGCATCTCCTCTGGACACCATAGGATTGGGACATGGGGTCCAGGTGTCTGACCACCCTCAGTCTCCAAGTTTTTCAGAAGCACACACATTGATTTAAAAACACGGGCTCATCTCTGATGAATTATTGAAACTCAGTTTCCAAATCCAAACTAGGGAAAAAAGGAAGCAGGCTTCATTGGAGGAAGCAGCAGCTTGTTTCCATATATTATGCTCTGGGAATCTGATTTGTTTCTGAATTATTCAAAAATCTTGTCTGGCAATTGAACTTAGTTCATAAATGTAAAATGACTTGGGGATTTGGAGTGAAGGGGCAGCAAAACTGAACTGACTTAATAATAAAGTAATGCACATGTGTATATGTGTATGTGTTTTTGAACACTAGTTAATGCATTTTAATTTATAACATCGCAGGCAGTTTGATGGTTTGCTCCCTGATCCTGTCTCTTTTATACTGATCTGTTCTACCAGAATGTATAGAGATATGGAAGCCATGTCCACCTCAAGTCAACATCAGACCGTGGTTGAGGATGCAGTTTCTGAAACCCAACATGTCCTGTCCAAAGAAGACTTTTTGAAGTTAATGCTTCCCGGCAGCCCTTTGGTGGAAGAGGGCCAAAGAAAGGTTAGCCAACTTAAAAGGATTTTCAGTCCCTACAAGAGACAGTTGCTCAGAAGTAGTCCACTGTTGTTCCCAAAAAAGATCCTGATAGAATCCACTATTTCATATAAATTGAGTGTATCTAAAAGAAGGAGGCACAAATAAGAGACAGAAATAAATGGGCAGACGGGGATACTGAAGCATAAAAGTGGAAAGAGCCCATGAAAGGAGTCAGAAACAATTTGTGTGTCTTTTTTCACTTATAGGTTTAACCTCTTTGCAGAAACCTAAAATAAATGGGAATTGATGTGCATGAGGGGAGGGTTAATGTGGATTCAGGCCAATTTGAAGAATTCTTGTAATTGTGATAATAATAATGAAGGCCTCACCCCAAATGATACTAAAAGCCTGCCCATCTTCTATTGAATATTGGGCTTGAAGCCCTGGAAGAAAAATGTATAATATTGCAAGGGAAGAATATGGGCCTATATTAATTCAAACATGGCTGTTGTCATTGTTTTTAAAGTGAGTTATCATTATGGTTTTTAAAACACTGGCCACATAAAAGATAAGCAAAAGTAATTCTTCAAAGCTCTGATCTAGAACAGCCTTAAGGAATTTAGGTGGACACAGCAGTATTGGGTATTACAGCATCTCTCTGGGTTTGAGGTCTAGCTTAATTATTTATGTAAGCAAAGCTACACCTTTCATGGGTAATCATGGTTCAGCAAGGTGGCACAGGGGATAGCATGTCAGGCCTGGAGTCAGGAAGACCTGAGTTCAAATTTGCCCTCAAACACTAACTAGCTGTGTGACCCTGGGCAAGTCACTTAACCTCTGTCTTCCTCAGTTTCCTCATCTGTAAAATGAAGATAATAATAGCACTGGTCTCCCAGAGTTGTTGTGAAGTTGTGAGATAATATTTATAAAGCTCTTAGCATAGTACCTGGTATGTAATAGGTGCTATGTAAATTATGGTGATGATGATGATGATGATGGTGATTAGAAGTTAATATCTACGTTTAGGATTTCCTTTTCATACTTCAGCTGTGTAGCTTAAACAGATTTTTGTGTCAGAACCAGAAAAGCTAGGTAGCCCCAATTCACCTTTCTCTCTCCTTACATGCTGAGGAACTAATATCCTTCTGTCTCTCAGCTTAGGGAAGGTAGGAGGGAGGCAGAAAAAGGGAGAGAAGTGGTGAATGCTGATGATTAGTTTTCCATGCCTTCTCCTCTCCCCTAGCAAGTGGTCAGCTCCGTTTCTAACTCCTATTTACTCTGACAAAGAGAGTACGTGTTCCATTTAGAAGCCTCTGCTGGTAGCAATGATCATTTTATGAAAGTAGAAAGATCAGGAGGGGAGAGTTTTTGCTGTAAAAGCAGTCTATCCAATGCCCCTTTCAAAATGGAGAATGGTATAGCAAAAGAGGGGGAAGAAATATGCAAGTAAATATAATAATTATAAAGACAGAGTCATGTCAGTAGATTGACTGCTACCCTGACAGGTCTATTAGATTTAAAACTGGAAGAGGTTAGGAAAATGGAAGTCTGTTGCTTTCTAGCTGAGTGAGATTGGACAAATCACTTAACCTTGTTTGGCCTCAATTGTCTTTTTTTGTCAAACGTCAGACGTTGCCTGCCCAAAGGCAGAGAGCTGGGCAGGGGACTAACTTAAAATTCTTCCCAGCTCTAAATGCATGACAGTCAAATTGGAAACATGTGAGCATCTTAGAGCTAGAAGAGACTTTAGAAATCAGGGGAGTCAGCAGAGTGCAGTGACGTTGGAGACTGAGAACTCGGGTTCAGACTCTGCCTCTAATACTACCTGGGTAATCCTGGCCACTTACCCTTTATAGTCCTCAGTTTTCTTATCTGTAAAATGGGAAGGAGGGGTTTAGACTAAATAGGCCCTGAGGTCTTGTCTCAATTTTGATCTGGGATCCTATGTTAGACCCTAATTTTACAGATGAGGCCAAGACACAGACTTTAAATGTCTTCTCTCAAGCTAAGTAGGGGAGCCACGACCGGAACACGGGCTTCCAGACCAGTGTTCTTCCATCATACCATACTATCCCTTATTGAAATTAATGTTCCTGCATTTCCATTTGTTATTGACAGTGAGTCAGAAAAAGAGCAAGCAGCTATAAATTCTAGCTTCCCTAAAGTGGAATTGTACTCCAGTTAACTGAATTATAGCCTTGGAATAACACAAATTAGATCCTACCTCAAGACCCCTTTATTCTCTTCAACCTATAATAATATGCTGCAGAGTGTGATAGTCATGTGTGTAAAGGGAATCCTCTAAGAACCGGATCTCGATGAATCTCTTGTTCTCAACATATAGTGTTAACACATGTGTGTGCTAACATAAGCTCATTAAAGCTTTAGCTTTAAACTGCACTAAGATTTTTTGGGGCACTGTGTACATATGTACATATGTATATACACATATTATATATATAATGTATGTGTACATATATTTTATGTATCTATAGCATATATTATATAAATACTGTAAATCAGAAAACAGTGTAGTATGAGTTCAACTGTGAAGGCAGGCTATTGCAAACATAAATTCTGATAGCATATCCTTTTTGTCAAGAGATTCCTCTTTTAAAACCATGTTTTCCTTTTCTGGTATATGTTTAACTTTGTAGGCCATGTACATGATTTATGTAAGCATTCGTCAGTTAGGAAGAGTTGACAGAATGGAAGGAACACAAAGAATAGGGATATTTTTAGCCCTTCTGCTGCATTCACAAACTTAAATGGCCATGCCCGTGCTTATTTGATGTAAACAATGTTTAAGGACAGCCGGGCGATCATACTTGTTTATCCAACGGGATATGCCTCAGGATGTAAAAGAACATGTTGGAAATGCGGGGTTTTGTTTGATTTTGTTTTTAAGGTGGGGTGAGTGTGTTGTGTGTGTGTGTGTGTTGTGTGTGTGTGTGTGTGTGATTGTGAGAGAGAGAGAGAGACAGAGAGAGAGAGGGTATGTCTGTGTATACCCATATATGTATGTCTCTTCAGAATCAAATGTTTTAGTAAACACTATTGTGAGATTTTTTTTCTCTAAAAGTTATCTTTTAATACAGTTAAAACAATTTCTTGGAGTTTTATTTTTTTCACTAGACTTTACCATTTTCATTCAGTTTATTTGGGTATCCTACAAGGCTGTGATATTTGAAATTACTTTTATTGTCATGTGGATTAGATTGAACCTCACACGCAGTTGATCAGTGCCAAAATTGCCTGGTATTAAAAACCTAGTCGTTTCAAATTAAAATCCATCAGCTTCATGTGTGCATGTGAATAAATGTTGCCTGAAATGGTAACTTTCTCTATTTCCTGAAGCCATCATCATCATCAGGTTGTGGAGGCTCCATTTAGCATTTCAGAATTAATAAAGCTGTGTAGCATCTAATTAATTCATGACCATATTTTGCAGAATGTCAGAGGAGGAAGCATTAAAATCGAATAACTGCTCTGAAACACCAGGGCTGGGGAAGTCAGTGGATCTGCTTCAGCATTTCTAAGCTAGTGTTTTTATGTCTTACTGGGGAAGAACTCACAGAAAGTTTTCATGATACTGCATCAGCCCATTGCATCTAATAGACTTTATTCCATGCCTTCATTTGTTTCCTAATGCTCTTTTCCCCCTCCCCTTTTTTTGAACATATAGTTTTCATTTTATGGGAACCTGTCTCCAAGAAGGTCCCTGTACCGCACACTCTCTGATGAAAGTATATGCAGTAACCGCAGAGGATCTTCCTACGGCAGCTCGCGGAGTTCCATCCTCGACCAAGCCTTGCCCAACGACATTTTGTTCAGCACCACCCCGCCGTACCATAGCACACTCCCGCCTCGGACCAACCTGGCACCAGGCATGGGAGGCCTAAGAAGTGAGTGGCGTTGCGGTATGTTTATGACCATGTCTCTGGTTCCATTAGTGTCTCGCGGCTTCTGGGTTTTTTTCATCTGAAGTGTTTCTTCTATTAATGCTGCATCCTGTGCTTCATCTGATTAAACCTGGGTCTGAATCCCTGGCGTGCTGCCTACTGGCTATGTGACCTTTAAAAAAAAATTGCTTCCCTCCTCTCGGGAGCACAGTGTCCTTATCCATAATCTGAAAGACGTTGGACTAAGATCATAGATCCAGAACTGGTCGGGATCTAGTCCTGCCTCTTCACTTTACAGGAGAGGAAACTGAGGCCGGGGGAGGGCAGAAGTCTTGGCCAAGGTCACATGGGTCATTTCAAAGGTGGAAATTGATCCCAGTTCCTCTGACTCCAAAACCCGTGCTCTTCATGCTCTAACATGCTTTCTCCTACCTGCTGGCTTTAAATTCTATGGGGTTTTTTTGTAATTAAATTAATTTTTTTCTTTTAATTTTGTTTTTATTTTATTTTCAGTTCTGAGTTCTCTCCCTCCCTCCTTTATGGTCTTTTAATAGAGAGACAATTTTGTTCTTGTTGTTCAGTCATTTCAGTTGAGCCTGATTCTTTATATATCCTGTTTGGGGTTTTCTTGGCAAAGATACTGGAGTGGTTTGCCATTTCCTTTACCGCCTCATTTTACAGATGAGGAAACTGATGCAAACAGCGTTAAGTGTCCTGCCCAGAGTCACAGCTGGTGAGTATCTGAGGCCAGATTTGAACTCGGGTCTTCCTGACTCCAGGCCCAGCATTCTACCACCACATAGCTGCCCCAAGAAAGACGACATAGGGTGGTAAAAAGAGCACTGGACTTAAGTCAAGAGACCTGGAACCCAAATCCCATTATTCGCCATTGGACCATGAACAAGCTTTCCCATCTTTCCAAGCCAGTGCTTTTCTCATCTATAAAATGGGAATGCTAGATTTTGTTTCATCTACCAGACAAGATTGTTGTAAGGAAGATGCCTTGTAAATCTCAAAACACTCTGGGAATGTGAGTTAATATCATGACTCTTATTTTGAAAACATGAAAAATGCTTAAAGGAGACATTTTTGACAAAGTAAGTTGTGATGTGTACATTGTTCATAGATGGGGTTAACTGAAAAACCTACTAGAAATACCGACACAAGTCAAGTTCAGCACCCACTGAACCTTTGGGATGAGCTCTGTATCAGGCTTTAACTTTTATAACTGTAAAGAAAAAATATCTAAAATTGTATTATGAAAATAGTTAGGAAAAAGGAAAAAGTGGTCTCATAATCATCCTTTTTTCTTATTCTCTAAAGTAAATATGTGGTGTAGCATGAAAAAGAAGAGCTGACAAAGGTAGGAATCCTAGTCTAGGCTTTATCCTCTGTGACGCTGAGCAAGATCTTAAACCTCTCTTGCCTTTCATATCTCCATCTGTAAAATAATGGAGTTGGACTAGATTATGTCGAAGGTTCTTTTCTGCTCTAGAATTATTTGATTTTGAATAGTTGGACGAGTTCCAAAAGCCGAACTTTTGAATTACATTTTTTCAGATTATTTTCTTTGCAAATCAGTTTTACCACCATTTTCCTAGGTAAAACTATTATGTTTTACAGAGATACAGGAATTTAAAAGAAAGTATCCATCATCAGGGTTGCATTTCATGGCATTTAGTATGTTTTGATAGAGCATCCAAATTGTTATACTCAGTGAAATGATAAACTTGTTTGTGTGTGTAGTGAGACAGCTAGTTGTTGTAGCAGATGGAGCACTGAACCAGGGATCAGGAAGAGCTAAGTTCAAATCCAGCCTCTGCCCCTTACTGCAGCTATATGACTCTGGGCAAGTCAGTTAACCTATGTTTGCCTCAGTTCTTTCATTTGTAAAATGCAGATAATAATATCACTTACCTCCTAGGGTTGTTATATGGATAAAGTGAGATAAAATGTAAAGCACTTTGCACAACCAGGTAAAAGCAACCAGATAAATATTGGCTTATTTTTATGATTCTAAGCTTGAATTGAAAGCAATCCCTGTCTCCTTTGAAGTTTCCTAATCTATTACTTTAGTGATACAATATTCTAAATATTGTAGGATTCATTCATGTAAATGGAAATAACACTTGCAACTGTTCCTTGATCACAATAAAGTAAGGTACATAATGAAGGTCAAATATTCTACCATTCTCCAAAGAAGTTGCTTTTAAATGAATGTTAGTGTCATCTTGCATTTAGTTCACCACAGTACTTCAGCATTTCAAAAAGATTTTATTTTATTCTCTCTACTATCACAGATCTTCAACCCTACTATAAATTATCCACATTTTATGAGTGGCCAAAGGGAATTCATCACCTGGTGGCCAATTTCTGGTATAAAGAATACCATGTATGTACAACTTGGATCCAGATCCTGCTATATTGTTTCATAAATTGCCTGCAGCTTTGGGGTGATGTTTCAAAGATTTGTAATAATAGCTGTTTCATGATGAGAAAGCAATGTGATCAGTCAGTCAGTCAGTGAGAATTTATGAAGTGCCTCCTATTTGCCAGGCACTATGCTAAAAGTGCTGGGGTACAAAGGAAGGCAAAAGAGAACCTCTCCTCTCAAGGAATTCCCAGTCCAGTGGGAGGAGAAAACCTGTAAATAGCCACCTACAAATGAGATACATACAGGCTAAATCAGAGATAATCAACAGAGAAGTCACTAGTGTTAAAGGGGATAGAGAAAGGCTTCTTATAGAAGATGAGATTTAATTTGGGACTTGAAGCCAAGAGGGCAAAAATTACAGAATGGAGGACAGCCAGGGAAAATGCCCAGAGGTGGAAAATGGAGTGTCCATTGTAAGGGACAGCTAGGAGCCACTGTCACTCAATTGTACATAACAGTATATAGGGGTAACTTGTAAGAAGACTAGAACGGTAGGGAGCCGGGTCAGGGTATGAAGGTGTTTGAACACTGAGCAAATTATTTTATATTCGATCATGGAAATGACAGGGATTCTCTGGAGTTCATTGGATGATCAGACTTGTGCTTTAGGAAAATAATTTGATATCTGAGTAGTAGATGGACTGTAGTGGAGAGAAACTTGAGGTGAGGAGACCAGCCAGTGGGCTACAGGTATAGTGGAAAGAGTATTGGAGTCAGTATCACAAAGACCTGGGTTCAGATCCTGGCTCTGACATTTTCTAGTTGTCTTGAGTATAGTCAAGTTACTGTGAGCCTTCCGTTCTTCATCCTCATCATCCCTGTGTAGTGTGTATCTCAGAGGCTTGTTATGAAGAGTTCTTTGTCAACCTTAAAGCGTGTGCGTGTGTGCGTGTGTGTGTGTGTGTGTGTTGGTTAAAATCATTACCCATATGCTATTACATATTTACTCTCATGCTGCCTTATTGTTTCCAAACCACAGAGGCAGAGAAATAGGTTTTTCACTAAAATGCTGCTGTTTTAGCCACTGCCCCAAATCACAAACTGTCTTCTTCATTCCCTTTTCTTAGCAAGGCGATAAAAACAAAGACTTCATCAAAATTTACCCAGCTAGACCTTTTTGCCTGTTGTTGGTGGGTAGCCCATTTGGCAGAACTATTAAAATATCCTCTTCCCTCCAAAAACCTGGCAGCATAGAAGGCCAAGATGCATTCAAGAAAAAGAGTAGAGAGTGTTGTAAAGGATATGGCAAATCCCATCCCCAAATTCCCTCGACGTGTTTCTGACTTATTGAACTAAAGATTTATAGCTCTGTCTCATGGCCACAGCAGTCTCTATGATTCCTAGAGTCTGTCTCCTCTCCACCGAGGCAGATGTAAATGGCTCTGAGCTTTTCTCGGTTATGGGTCATGCAGAGATTCTTGGAAGAGACCCATGGAACAGACTCCTGAGAAGTCAGGACTCTCTGGGAACGAGTAGACACTTTGAAATGGGAGCAGTCTGCAAAGAAGCATTCCTAGCATATGTTTCCAAACAGGGACTGGAAGGGGATCCGACATTTCAGACTTAGGTAACACACTTGCCCTAGCTTCGTGTAACCCTTCTTGAAGATTGGTTCCATCAGACTTCCTGGCACTGGCTGGTTGCTCGCCAAACCCACCAGCATCCTGGAGACTGTACTTGGAAGGAAGAATAGTGTCATGGAAAGAGCAAGGGATCTAGAGTCAGAGCCAGCAGGTATTTATTGAGTATCTCCTATGTTCCAGGAGCTGTGCTAAGTGCTGAGGATACAGAGAAAGTCAAAAACAGCTCCTGCCCTCAAGGAGCTCACTATCCAGTGGGGGAGACAACATGCACATAACTATTTACAAATAAGATATGACACAGGATAACTTGGAGTCAGAGGACCTGGGTTCACATGATAGCTTTTGCCACCTATTCTCCATGAGACCTAGAACAAATCACTTCACTTTTATGGGCTTTAATTTCCTCAACTGTAAGATAAAGGACTTGGACTAGATGATGGGGTCCTTTCCAGCTGAAAATCTGTGATCTTGTATGGAATATTAGGACTCCTGAACTGGAACGTGTCCAGGAATCACTTACTTTCCCAATATAAGGGTAATCAGGAGGGGAGATAGCTTACAGTAAACGGAACGAAGTCTTCTCAGAGGCAGGTAGCCCAGCTCTTCGAAAACAAACCACTCATATATGGTTTTTCCTACCCAGGGGAAAAAGTCCAGCAGTTAACTGCTAGAAGGGCTGTCCTGTGCCTGTTTCTACTCATTCTCCTCACAGGGAGAGCCTTTGCTTAGAGAAATAATAACATCTAAATAGTCCCAAATTTTAATTTGTTTCAGACTATTTCCATCTCTTGAATCCTGGCATTTTAAGTTCATACTTTTAATTCGTACATCTTTTTTGAAGCCACTGAAATGTGCCAGATAAGTTTATCAATGACTTTTTAAGATGTAGAGATTCTTAACACAATCCATCAACAGAAATGTTCTGGATTAGGTCTTGTCCTTGCATTTAGGTCAGTATTTGTTCCTCCTACGATCTGCATCCTAGATGGATTATAATAAGGGAATTCCATGATGGACCACTCACAACAAATCATGAAAATGAGAATTGAGACTTGCTGTTTCAGAAACTAAGTCAGATACAGATGATATAAAAAGTGTATGTGTGGGAAGGAAATTCTGAGCACTGGGAAAATGATAGTGGTATTCCTAAGCCTAAGTAATTTAATGGGATTTTATTTTTTTTTGTATAAAGAATTAAAAAAAAGAATACTGTTCCTTCAGTTTAAGAGGACCAGAATGGAGGAGACGGGATCAAAGTCATGAAGAGCGCATAGTTAGCAGGAAGGATAGGCTTGTTCAACAAATCCTACAGCACTAGTATCTCTGAAAGAGGAATTTTTTTTTAAATGCACTTTATTCAGAGGTTGGTAAACCTGACGAATTCCTTACATATGAGAGACGCTATTGGCTAAAAACATAAATAGATTGAATAAGGTTATAGTCAAGTTCACTGATGATAGATGCTGGCCATTAAAAAAAAAAAAACTGAGGTTGTTTTGGAATAGATCGTACCCCCTTTAGGGTTGGTGTCAAGAAGGGCAATGGCGGTGCCTTCCTAAAATTTCCCTAATCCTTCTGCCAGAGGCAGTGCATTGGGCTGGTTGGATCATTTCTCTGTTTTAATCTGGAATTTCTCACTCTCCTCTGTCCTCTGCGATAAGTGTCCTATGGTTTCTGGAGAGTGATTGTAAAACTTGAGATCTCCAACTACCAGGAAATGCTATCAAGAAAGCTACTCAGTATTTGTTATCAGAATAACATAATAATAATAAAATCGGAATTAATAAAGATGGATTATATGAGTGAGGGGACTTTTGTAAATAGACAGGAAACCACAGACTCGATGTCATTATGCCAAGAAGCAGGGCAGGAGAGTGGGGAAGGAGATCTGGCAGACCTGCACAAACACTAACATTTTCTTTAAAAAACGAAACAAAACAAAACAGTGAATTGTTGAGTAGAACTCCAAACTGGAGCCACACCAGACATGAATAGAAACAATAGGCAAGGGAAAGAAGAGGAAACGACCCTTCCAAGTAGATGATTACATTTGTCTCTGCCAGTTGGTTTAATAGTTAACTATTCCATTTTCTGGAGTTGTATCAAATCTCCTTGGGGGGTGTGAGAGAGGAGCTCCTCCAGAAAGTTCAGAATTGTAAATCATTAGAGTCAGCATTTTTCTCCACTCACTAAGCTTCAGGTCATGATTGGCCTAGACAGGTGGCTGCCTGTCCATGTGGAGCTCCTTTGGTGTTCAGGTCACTGAGGTGCTGGTGCCTTAGCTTAGCCACCATACTTTTGTTGATTTTCTGTGGAAACTTCAAATCTCATCCTTAGTTCTTATGAACTCTCAGCTGTTCAGTCAAGTATCTCTGCCTCCCAGTAAGCAATATTTTTTCCAAGCCAAGAATCAGAACACAGGATAATCCTTCTGTAAGAATTCATTTTAAAACTACCCTTTATGTTATTTTTATTTTTTTTTAAATTGGAACTGTCCTGAAAAAATCTGGGATTTGTATTTATCTTGCATCACAAAATTATAAGGGTGACTCAGAGTTCCCATTCCCCCTGCATTCATCATGGTCAGAAGACTGACCACCTGCCTTCAACCGAAGGAGAATTACGGCTAGCCTTGTTGAACTGTTGTCAAGTGAGTTAATATTTTTACAACACTTAATACTTAATTTCAGAACAAAGTAAGCACTTTGTCCTCTCCTCTCTCCTTGAACAAATGCAAGACTGGGAATCAGAAGACCTGCATTCTGTCGCTAGATTTGTCAGTGACAAGTTTTATAAGCATGTTATTAGCCTTTGTAGTTCTCAGTTTTCCTTCAGTTAAGTGAAGATTTCTTACCTGCCTTACCTCCAGAGTATTAGTGTGACCTAGCACATGGTCACCTATGGTACCTACTGGGGGCAGATCGCTAAACCTCTCTGTGCCACAAGCTGTGGGAAACCCTGAGCTGTAATTCCAACAATGGCCCAGAGAGATGAGACTGAAGAAAAGACAGACCCTACAGTGGTTCCGCAGTGACCAGTACATGTCCCAGTAGATGTCCCAGCCAGCAACTGGGAGGAAGCAGGCAAACTTATGGAGTGACGATCAAGGACCCCATAAACTTGATATGATTTCCCACCATTCCTTAAGGCCTCTTGGAGACTGAAAGCAGTTAGAAGGACAGCCTACTATTGGGTATTCTGGAAAGGCTGTCCCCCATAAGGAAGCATACAGTTGAGTTTGTCTCTGCCTTGCAGAACTATAGTGAGGATCTTAGAGCCCTAAATAAATGCTAGCCAATAATGCAGTTTTTGCAAATTATTGATGGCATAATTAATGACAAAACCAGAGCACCACTGATAGCTTCGTTAGGTATTGCCCTTCATGTCCCATCGTTAACTTATTATGGTTCAGGGTTTTTGTTTTTGTTTTGTTATGTTTTTTGTCCTTTCTGAAAATCACTCTCTGATCTCTTCATCATAAGTGACCAAATTTGGTTTTAACCTGAAGAAGCTTCCCCTGCAGTAATAAAACTTAAGTTTAAGAGAACCCTGGAATTTCTTTGTAAACATTCTACAATAAAATTTATTCACTTTTAAATTTTCTAAAATTTATTTATTCGCTTAACCTGAATGAGCTTACAATCTAATGGGGAAACAGAGACACTTACATGAATATCTGGAATCTACTTTTTCATTAAATTATAGTGAGTGATCCAGAGTTACACAGCAGTCAATGGCAAAATAAATTGTAATTTAAAATCTCCTTTTCTTGTATCAGTTTCTCTGTTAGTCGTATATGTGTGTGTGCATGCACATTCGATGTACATGTGTATAAAGCTAAACATATACTTGTGATAGATGGTAGAAAGGAGCTTGTTTGGCTCAAAGCTAAAAGAAGCAGGCAACCCCAACTCCACTGATCCCTCCTGTCACAAGGACTAAGCATGTACATGGGACCAAATATTCCTATACCTGCATTTTAAGGGAGGTAAGAGGATGATAAAAAGGGTGAGAGCAAAGTAGCAAATCCTGTGAATATTTCTTTTCTTCCCTGCTTTCCCCCTCCCCCAATTCCCAGCAAGTAGGAATCAGCTGCTGATTTAATTGAGCTCCTCTTTGACCTGGCCAAGGACAAAGAATGTCCCATTTTAGAAGCTTCTGCTTGAAGCATTGGTTGTTTAATCAAAGCAGAAAAAAATGAGAAGGGAGGGTCACACTAGAAAAATATTATCTTTGTTTTTCCTCTCAAAATGGGGGCCAGTGGAGCAAGGGCAGAAATAAGTAAGTTAATAAGATGATTAGCAAGGTAGCATAATGTGAATAGTTTAACAGCTACCTTTGACAGTTCTTTCAGATATAAATATAATAGAGGTTAGGAAAGCCTGAGCCTATAACTTTTGAATGAGGATGAAAGTTAATTTTAGCCCCAAACACCCTATCCTTATACAACTGACATCAAAGCTCATTTCCAAAGGTTCACTGCTCTTTTAATAAAGCTCTTATAAGGGCAATTTTCCAAATGCTCTAGCTCGGTTCAGATGCCAGAATTTCTCATCTACCCAAAAATTGTGGGTACAGAAATTACAGGTGTAGTTTGTTAATTATGCCCTGAGTTTCCTTAATTGCAAGCTCAGTCAGCCAGGTGGTCATTATTTTGAGTGGTCTAATTAGTCAAATGTATTCACAAGTATCAGCATGTAACTCTTTTGGGTGGGCATGGAAATTATGAGGCAAAAGAAAGTCCAGTTGAAGGCCTTCCAAAGTTTGCTGGAAAATACCCAAAGAATGCTTTAAAAAAAATAGAACTCAGCATTATGAGTAATAAAAAAACAAAGCAGTAGAATCATTTTTAAAGAAATTGCAACTCCTACAAAGGAAGAGTGATAAATCATTAAGTATCATATGTAGGAGGTGTTTCTGGTATGACTCATTATTATCAAGCCACTTGATTTAGGACAAATGGAGAAAAGTAGAGTAAACCACAGGTTTTGTATATAGTAAATAACTTTCAGTCTCTGTCTTTTGTATATAATTCAGCAATAAAATTGTCCTCTTACCATCTATACTTATATGAATGAATGAACAAGTGAACATTTACATGATTAAATGAAATTAATATGGTTCAATTCATAAAACTTTGTTCAAATCTCTATCTTAAATCAATGGACTCTACTATAGGGCTTTTTCCAGTCATCAATGTTGGAAGATGTTTCCTTCAAGGCTTTTTATGTGTTAAAAGCATTAGACAGAAAAATAAAATGGCACCAGAATCTTGTAGTCTGTAGCTGGGCTAGGTCGAATTCAGAGGTAATGGTTCCAAGGAAAAACATCATTGCTAAATGTTGATAATGTACATAGTCTAAATGCTAACTCCCTTTCTGCCATAGTTTCTTCTGTGACTTCACTTGAATTAGTTAACCTTCAGTTTTCTGCTTCTCCCCAACTTTTTGAGTCTATTTTTAACTGTATGTGTCTTAGGGAAATCAGCAGCTTAAATTTTTGATTTTTTTTTAATGAGGGCAGGGAGATGTCTCTTAAGGGGGAAGGAAAGAAGATGTTGTAGGTGAATTTCCCAAGGGGATGATGTTGTAGAGAGTTCTCTGTGATATCACTGACACTGTGGTTTTGTTTTTTGTTTAGATGAGTTCTGGCTCTCCGATGGGTCCTTATCGGATAAGTCCAAATTCACTGATCCAGGTCTGATGCCCCTCCCAGACACTGCCACAGGGTTAGATTGGTCCAACCTTGTGGATGCTGCACGGGCATTTGAAGGTAAAGATTAAAGTGGCCCAAAGATCGTTTTTTTTTTTTTTAATGCTATGCAGTGTTTCTGTACATTTCCTAGAATCAAGCTCTTGTGTTGTGTAGATGAACTCTAGGGTATTTTAGTCCCCAGAGGGGAAAGCTTGTGTGTAGTGTTGTTTCCTTAGGGAGCCTGTGCAGATTAGAGTGAAAGGGTATTAGGATGAGACTCAAGACTAGGGTTGCAATTCCATGTGACCTTGGACAAGTCACTTCCTCTTCTGTTCCTAACTTTTCTCATCTGAAAAGTTGAGTGCTTTGGACTCATATGGTCCCTAGGGTCTCTTGTAAAATCCATCCTGTGATTATTGTTTTTCTAAGGCAGGGAGCTCCTTTTTTTGTTTGTTTGTTTTTTGTTTTTATTTTTTGTCAAGAAGGGTAAGCATTGACAGGGAAAGTCTGAGAGTCATCCTCCACCACTAAGATGTGATTGTGGTATATATAAGATGTTTCCTTTGGCTTCTAATTTCATGTCAGTTGGTGAAAGGTCCATGCTGATTCTTTTAAAGAATGTTATCAGAGTGTTTTCTGTAGGAAGAAGTGGAGAGTAAGAACAGAGCCACTGGAAGGGACTTGTCCATTCCTTCCTCTTAAAGTAATGGATTCCCCAAGGCTCCTTGAAGGCAGAGATTTTTGTGTATTTATATCGTTAGAGCCTGACACAGATCTTCACATAGAGCAGGTGTTTGTTGATTTCGCGCAGATCTTCTTGAAGGGTATACTTGATAGATTCCTCAGCCAGTGGAAGTTACCATGTTTTCTAGAATTTCCATCAGGAAGGGGAACACAGCTAGCCTTGACTCATTTGTAGCCCTTTCCTCTTCTCCGTACCTCTCCTCCCCTCAGTAAGCTCTTAGGGCTTCCAAGCTATGAAGGGCAGAGCCGCTACTCTAAAGGAAGGGCCCAGAAGTTAGAGGTGTATCAGAGGAGCAGCACAGCTTGGTACGAAGGACAAAGTGCTCTTAGAATCAGGAGACCTGAGTTCCTCTCCTAGCAATATCAATAACTGTCTAGGCAAATCGTTCACATCTCTGAACTTCAGTTTCCTTATTTGTGAAATGAGAGGATTACTCTAGATAATCCCTAAGGTGTCTTCCAGGCTTTAAATTCTATGATTGTAAATAATGATGTTCAACTTGCTTATACCAAGTTTAAAATTGCTTCTGAGGTCCCAAGGGTGAGTTTGAAATATCAGTATAGTATGCAAAATTTATGGAGAAAACAATGACTCTCTGAACCATCTCAGGGAAGCCTAAAGGTGCTTTTCCCAAGGGCTTTCCATAAAATTCTGAATGGCAGCTCTCCTGACCCTCACCATCTGGTACTGATGATTTGAAAGTTTCTCTCTTTTAACTCAAGACAGACAAGGCTGTGATGTAGCACAGGTGGGGCAGGGGAAACCCCTGCGGAATGAGTGTGAGCTGTAACCGCTCCCTCCATAGAAGGAGTCAGCCTGCCCTGAATTCCCTGGTTAACTGCCTTGCAAGTCCTTGTCCTGCTTGGGAGCTTCAGCATCCAGCTGCCTGCCTTGTAATGAGGCCCCAACTCTGGCGTTATCAAAAGCAAAATCCCTGTTGTTTTTTAAACCAACAAAACACAACAAAAAAAAAAAAATCCTAGGGCTTGTGGCCTGTTTACTCGAGTCTGTCCTCGCACTTTCAGTAACCCTTCCCTTGTGCTGTCCTAGAAGTTGGAGACCAGCGAAAGGCAGAATTGCTTTGCCAGCCTCAATTCAAAGCTGATCTGGGAAGCAAATTCAACAAATTTAATTCAATGAATGTATTATGCCTCTGCTCTGTGCAAGGCACTGTTTGTTAGCTAGGGTATTTTACTCTGCGTGTGTGTGTGCGCGTGTGTGTGTGTGTGTGTGTGTGTGTATGGGTGTGGGTGTGTGTGTCCGTGTGTCCAAGAGTGCATATGCTTGGAACGATAGAATGGGGTTATCTCTGCAGTAGAGGTTTGAGCAATAATAGTTATCACTGATTACTGTTTTTTATCCCATGGGTCATCCACTGGGGAGTACTTTACTATGTAAACTCTTGGATCTTGAATAAAGCTTGGGGCTTCCTCTGTGTTTTTTGATAGTGTACCTAGAGAAGGCTGTAGTACAGTGGAGAAAGCATGGGCTTTTGAGTCAGAGGACCCAGGTTCAAATCCTGGCTCAGCCATTTATGCCTAACTTGACCTCGAACAAATCAGTTTCGTCATCTACCAAATAAAGAAATTGGACTAGGTGACCTATTAAGATCCCTTCCATCTCTAAATCTGTGAGCCCGATATCCCAATTGCTGGCCCTCAAATCCCATGGATAGGTCTTATGATCAAACAGATACCTACTGAGGGTGTTTTGAGGGCCCGTGGCAGAGGCCCTTGCACAGAAATCATGTTCCCCTAACTTCCAATATACTATATGAAGTGGTACCAGTTTTTTTTTCTTTTGAGATTTTTATTTTTTTTTAATGCAGATACCTTTGAGAACTTATTTGATAACTAACTACAGTAATATTTTTTTTAAGAATCAGCTATATCTTAGTAGATGATTTGGAGAACTGCCATAACTGAAAAGGTAGGACACCCTAAAGCGAGCCTGTTGGTAGAGACTTTGTCAACCTACTCCAGCTAGTTATTGAATAACAGACATGGAGTTGATCACCAAGCATATACTTGAAGTCTTTCTAGCTTGGGCAGGACCTGCCCAAACTTGAGCTCTTCTGGCATAGCCTACGAGAAACTAGGGTCACAGCTGTCATGAGGTGGCATTGGAGTTCTTCAATGTTAGTGATAATGGTGGTATATTAATGCTATTATACCTTTTTTGAGATTTTCATTGTAAGTCAATTTCCCTAGGCCTAAGTTTCTTCATCTATAAAATGAGGGTGTTGGGCTGGATCTTTAGGGTTCCTTCCATTTCTCTAAAATGGAGATCAAAGAGTTTAAGCTAGAGGTATAATATGGTTTATGGGTTGACATTAAGCTAAATGAAAGAACAGAGTACTTACTAGGTTACTAAAAGCCCTAGGAAGATTGTTTTCCAAATGGGAAGAACATGTGCGATTATTTTTGCTATGAGGAAAGGAATTGGTCAGTCTACTTTTTACACTTCTCAAGTTCTAGGTCATCTTAATGGAAATTGATTTAAAAATTGTTGTTGTTGTTGTTGTTTAGTCCTTTCAATTGTATATGACTGTGAACCCATTTGGGGTCTTCTTGGCATGGGTACTGGTGTGGTTTGCCATTTCCTTCACCAGCTCATTTTACAGATGAATCTGAGGCAAAATGAGTTGTGACTTTATGACAAGTGACTTGTCCAGGATCACACAACTAATAAGTGCCTGTATCTAGATTTGAATTTAGGAAGATGAGTCTTCCTGACTCCAGGTACAGCACTCTATCCACTGTGCTACCAACTGCCCCCTGATAAAAAATATTCGATGATTATTTAAAGGAAAAATCAAATGTTGCTACCTATGGACAAAAAGTGATACCTAATAAAACTAGATATGAAATCCTTGTTAATCTTAACTGTTATAACATGCCAGCTTAGGACCATATTCTTATGAAAATTCAGATGAGAAGTTGTTACTATAGATATTTGGGTAATCAATTTTTTTCAATACCAATTTTATCTGAGATTACACTGTAGAGCTTGATTTCCATCTGATTCCAATGTGTCCAAACCTGGATGTTGACAAGTATCTTAATGGTTTGGTTCTTAAAGGGAAAGCTTTTTAAAGGGAAATACAGAAAATGCCACACCCCATTTCCTGTTTTCCTAAGCTTAAAACTCCATGAAGACATTTGGGACACTGTATATTTTTTCATATGACCCATTTCACCATCATAGGAGAATGTTAATTATTTGGAAAAGAGTGTTGTATGACAGAAAGACCACTGGACTTGTAGCCAGAGGTTTGGGATTCAAATCTCTGATAACCTTTCTGTTTCCCTCATCTGTATAATGAGAAGGTTACACTAGATGGACCTATAAGATCCAGATCTAAATCTTAATGATTTAAAAAAAAAAAGTTGGTGTTGGGTCTTTATCTTGCTCTTACCCCAGTTTTCATATCAATCAACAAGCATGTGTTAGGAGATGGGAATACAAAGATAAATGAAACAAACCCTGCCCTCAAAAAGCTTATATTCTATCAAAGGAGAATGTATTCTTGCATATCCATCCACAAATATGTACAGAACATAAGAAAAACATAAAGTAATTGGGAGCCAGCAGGAGCAGCTGGGGAAATGAGGGAAATGATGTCACTTGGGCTTTTTTCTTAAATAAAGCAAGGAATTCTATGAGGTAGAATTGAGACTAAAGTATTTCTAGGCATGTAAGAAAGCCAGCCAAAAGACATAGAGGCAGGAGAGTGTTGTTTATGAGGAAGAGCAAAGAAGACCAGATTAAATGTGGAGTGCTTCCTGCCATGATTGTCAGCTGATATCTTCTAGTCAGCTATCCTCAATTAGCTTTTATTAATTTTATTGTTGTTGTTATTATTGCTATTGTGAGTTATGAGATAGCTAACTGGTGCCATGAATAGAGTGCTGTCCTTGGAGTCAGGAAGGCCTGAATTCAAATCATGCCTAGAGATGCTCAGTAGCTATATGATCCTGGGCAATCTCAGTCTCAGTTTCCTCATCTGTAAAGTGAGGATAGTAATAGCACCTACCTTCCAGGATTGTTATGAGGATGAAATGAGGTAATAACATCCATAAACTTCTTTATAATGCTATTTTTATATCCTTGTTCTTATTAGATTCTGAGTCTTTACAATGTGGCAACAATGAGAAAGTCAAATAAAAAATCACAATGAAACCAAGTAAAAGAAAATGATTTTATTTAGTTAAAGATTAGAAATACAAGTTTAGTCAGAGGTTTTAGGAAAGAGAATTACAACTTTTTTCCTTAAATTGTTGTTGGACTTTTGGAAACTTGTTCAAACACTTTATTTATATGACATACATGA